GAAATTTGGAAACAGATTTTTCCCTTAAAATGATACATTCTCTCAGTTTAAACTTTTGAACTGTGATTTGTGTTCTATTCTGAATAAAATATTAGATGTTGGCACCCCCACATCATTGCATTCAGTTTTTATTCACAATTTGTTTAGTGTCCCAACTTTTTTGGAATCCGGTTTGTACAGTAAATATACTTCAAATTTTAACTACCAGGTGTATTTTGGAAGTACAAATATCCAAATGCTCATAGAACTATTAATGCTATACTGTAGCATTTATACTATAACGCGTAACTACACTGCCTGGCCAAAAAAATAGTCACCACCCAAAAAAAAAAGGTCACACACTAATATTTAGTTGGACCACCTTTAGCTTTGATTACATCATGCATTCACTGTGTCATTGTTTCGATAAACTTCTACAATGTCACAAGATCTATTTCCATCCAGTGTTGCATTAAGTTTTCACTAAGATCTTGCATTGATAACTAGACACTAGGCATGATGGGTGCATCACTTCACCTGCCTCTCTTCTTACCCTGATGTGTCCATCACTTTGGAACAGGGTCAGTCTGGACTCATCAGATCACATGACCTTCTTCCATTGCTCCAGAGTCCAATCTTTATGCTCCCTAGCAAACTGAAGCCTTTTTTCCAGTTAGCCTCACTGGTTAGTGGTTTTCTTAAGGCTACACAGATGTTCAGTCCCAATCCCTCGAGTTCCTTCACATAATTCATGTGGAAATGTTCTTACTTTCACTATTAAACACAGCTCTGAGTGCTACTGTTGTTTTACTTCTCTTTGATTTCACCAAATGTTTAAGTGATCACGATCATTCAGGATTTTATTCTGGCCACATTTCTTCCTGGAAGACGATGGGTCCCCACTGACCTTCCAGTTTTTAGTAATGCATTGGACAGTTCTTAACCCAGTTTTAGTGGTTTCTACAACCTCCTTAGATGTTTTCTCTGCTTGATGCCAATGATTGGACCCTTCTCAAACAGACTGACATCTTTTCCACGACCACACGATGTGTCTTTCAACATGGTTGTTTAAGAAATGAGAAGCAACTCATTGCACCAGTTGGGGCTAAATAACTTGTTG